TATTCAGGCTTATCAGGAAAAAAAAAAAGAGAGAAAACAAAAATAACCTATCAGGAATAAGAAGTAACATAGCAACAGATTCAACAGATGGTAAAGAGATAATAAATGGCAGTTATGAACAACATTGTGCCAACAGATTTGACAACTTAGATGAAGTGGACAAATTCCTCTGAAGACACAATTAGCTAGTCTCACTCAAAAAGAAAGAGCCAGAATAGCCCTGTATCTATTAAATAAATGGAAGCTGTAATTTAAAACCTTTCCCCAAGGACTCCAACGCTAGGTCTAAATGGCTTCAGTGGAGAATTCTACCAATCATTTAAGAAAAACATGATACCAATTCTACTAGTTCTTACCAATTCTTCTAATTAAAGAGAAAATGGAAAAAGGAAGCCTATTAACCTCTTGCACTTTTCTCAGACTTCTAAGTGTGATACTGGAATGACCAGTTCATGGGGAGAATTTTATATTCTTTACAGGTGAATGAGCTACAACTGCAGGCAATTTCAGTTTCTTTCCAAATTTCTTCAGGGAATATCTGAGGAAAATAAAGTGCTTTTGAAATATAAACACTTTCTAGGAATAAAGGAATGTTGCTTATACATGATTTTACCACTAGTGTCATGAAAATTGTGTGGAGGACTGTGGCTATAAACACAGTGGTTTGAATTCTATGTAAATTCATAGTTTTTTATTGTTATTTTTAACTATAGAAAAGTTCTGAAGGTAGTAATTTTATTTGCCAGTGTTTTGGAAACTTTATTTTTACATCTGAGGAAGATTTGCTGGAAGATGTTATTTGTTTGGGGTAATGCAAAATATTTCTGGAAGACACAAGTGAAATGGGCCCTCACTGACCAAGTAGTTTGTGTAGATGTAGTGATTAAACTATTTAGTAGAAGGGAGGTTGCAAAAATATTTGACGAAATGAAATATGTGCCTGCAGTGCAAAACTATTGATCCTGCTCACAAACAGGCATATTGAGAAAGATTTCTGTACGCCTGGTAGAACAACCTCTGTGGGCCATCTTAAGCACTGGTGAATAATGAACACTTTTATGCATTATATTACATCTGTATTATATTACATCTGTATTAATGCCTTAATACTCTTGCCTTAATATTCTTCCAAGGTTTAGCACCTGTCCTTTTAATAAATAATAAATAGGTTATGGTTAATGTTTTTTAAAAAGGTACTCAAATATGTCAACTTTATTGTTGTAGATACACACCCCTTTGTACTGAAAATTGTAAAAATAGCATAAAATTTCCTCTTATTGTAATCCAAATTTTTGAAAGCCAGAAAATCTAATTATGCTCTAGCCAAGCTACCTAATGCTTTCTTTATCCACAAGTAACTTTGCTTCAATTTCTTGATGTTGGGTTTCATCTCACTGACTTTGGGCTTCTAAATGGGAATACTTATGTCCTCTTGGCTTCTTTGGGTCAAATCAAACTGTAGAGCTAAAGTTATTAAAATACATTCAAACTACACAGATCCCTTACAAATTACTAGTATCATGGTAGGAAGGAAAGATACAAGAAGAAAAATACATACTAGAACTCATTATCAAAATTATGGGTGTATCGTCTATACTAGCATCGAGTAGCTTTCCCAACCTGCTACACAAAATTACCAGCAAGAAAAAAAAGTGCAAGAATAAGGTTTATGACTGAAGTGGCTCGGTGTCATGATTTCCTACTCTAGCATTCTCAGAAGGATCCCATCCATTAAACACGCAGAAATTGCAGCCTATCCAAATGTGATCTGCTTAATCAATAATCAACAGTTCACACTGAAGGCAGTATCTTTGCTATACGTACTTGTCATAATGAAGGACGGTGTACAAAGAACAGTTGAGCCAGATGAACACTTTAATTTTGATGCCAAAATCAATCACTTTTTGTCATAATACCAGGCATAGACAATGGTTGATCCAGTGCATACTGTATTACTCCATAATTTCCTGCAGTAGACATGTCATAATTGACATACTCCTTGATCATTAACACATTGCAGTAGTCAGATATACTTGTCAAAATTAAGCTAAATGTCAGTGGAAGACTCATGAAGGCTTGGAAATCTTGCAACTTGCTCTCAGAGACACTGCCAACAGAAATGATAAATGTCATTGGGCTGTGGTAATATTCTCACTGATGTATCAATAAATAAAGGGATGCTGGGGAAAAAATGTTCTTCCAGATACCTGCCCACTCTGAAACTAGAGTTCGTGAAAGATAGCTCCCTAGACACTGCAGCCATTTCCTGGGAGGACTCTGAGCTGTGATTTGAAAAACAGAATGCACTCATCTGCCATTTTTCTTCCAAAATTGCTTGTGAATATCCTGTATGCTATCCAAGTCTCTCCACCCTTGTAGTCTTTGAATAAATTGGTTCATTTTTTTTCCTTTTTTTGAGACAGAGTCTCTCACTCTGTGGCCCAGGCTGGAGTGCATTGGCAATATCTTGGTTCACTGCAACCTCCCCCTCCCAGGTTCAAGCGATTCTCATGCCTCAGCCTCCCAAGTAGCTGGGATTAAAGCGTGCACCAACACGCCTGGCTTATTATTATTATTATTATTATTATTATTATTTGAGACGGAGTCTTGCTCTGTCACCCAGGCTGGAGTGCAGTGGCACGATCTCTACTCACTGCAAGCTCTGCCTCTTGGGTTCACGCCATTCTCCTGCCTCAGCCTCCGGAGGAGCTGGGATTACAGGCACCCGCCACCATGCCTGGCTAATTTTTTTGTATTTTTAGTAGAGACAGGGTTTCACCATGTTAGCCAGGATGGTCTCGATCTCCCGACCTCATGATCCACCCGCCTCAGTCTCCCAAAGTGCTGGGATTACAGGTGTGAGCCACCGCGCCCAGCCAAGAGTGGAGAAGTTAATCAACATACTTAGTTAGCTAGCTTGAACAGACATCCCAGTATTGATAGAGTTGTAATCTTAAAAAAAAAAAAAGCCCAACAGTCATGGGATGAAAAAGTATTTGAGTGAGGATGAAAGCGTCAAACTCTCACTGTGCACATGAAATCACAAATATGTACACTCGCAACTGTCCTGATACTAACACAACATTTTGGTTTTCTTATAATATTGAAATTTTATTGAATACTGAAACAAATTTTATTGAAGTTGAGAGTTGTATCTTCTTTAACTGTGACAGCCAACACATATGTGCAATAAAAGCTATAAGAATATTTGCATTTGACCCATAAAATAAAAAACTTGATTTAATAATTTGGCAGGTGTTTTGTTTCATTTAAATTTGACTATTTTTCTTTTTTGATAGATTGTTCCTATTGCATTACTCAAAGGTGGTAAAAAAAATCTCTAATTATGTGGTTGATTAGATAACATTTATTATGTATATTTATTTGTGAATATTTATAATGAATATTTATTAAATATGTACATATTATACATTATACCAGGTACACATTGTACATATTATACATTACATAAAGTAGGGAATACACATTGCCCATGTGAAGTTTATAATATACCTGGAAAAATAATACCAACATACATACTGTATGATTTTTTTTTTCTTCTTGAGATTGAGATTTTTTTTCTTCTTTCTGTACTTTTTTTTTTCTTCTTGAGATTGAGTCTTGTTCTGCTGCCCAGGCTGGAGTGCAGTGGCATGATCTTGGCTCACTGCAACCTCTGCCTCCTGGGTTCAGGCGATTCTCCCGCCTCAGCTTCCTGAGTAGCTGGGATTACAGGCACGCACCATCATGCTCAGCTAATTTTTATATTTTCAGTAGAGACGGGGTTTCACCATGTTGGTCAGGCTGGTCTTGAACTCCTGACCTCATGATCCTCCCACCTTTGCCTTCCAAAGTGCTGGGATTACAGGTGTGAGCCACTGCTGCTAGCCAATTCCAACTACTTTTCTGTACTGACTTCTCTTACTCATCAATATGTATTTAAGATTCCTCAATGTCTTTTTATGGCATGGTAGTTCCTTTCTTTTTATTGCTGAATAATATTTCATTGTATGTATTTACCACAGTTTGTTTGTCTATTAACCTATTGAAGAAGATCTTAGTTGCTTCCAAGTTTTGGAACCAGTGAAATGTTATAAGGAATGATGCATTTCTTTAATTTTGAATTGTTATAATAATATCTTAGGCCAGGTGAAGTGGCTCATGCCTGTAATCCCAGCACTTTGGGAGGCTGAGGCAGGCGGATTACTTGAGGTCAGGGGTTTGAGACCAGCCTCGCCAAAATGCCAACATGGTGAAACTCCATCACTACTAAAAATGCAAAAATTAGCTGGGCATGGTGGGACGCAACTGTAATCCCAGCTATTCAGGAGGTTGAGGCAGGAGAATCGCTTGAACCCAGGAGGCAGAGGTGGCAGTGAGCCAAGATCATGTCACTGCACTCCAGCCTGGGCAACAGAGTGAGACCGTCTCACAAAAAAAAAAGTAAAAAAAAATATCTTTACTATTATGATTTTTCAACATTAAATCAATTTAAGATTACCTTATGCCAATGAAAAGAGTCCCTTCAACACAGCTTGCATTCTCAGTCTCAGCTCCAGTTCCTTGATGCGGCCAGTGGTAGCAGCACTGATATTAAAAGTGTCATTTATTTAGTATGTTTCTCAACTGGCTAAGCTGGTATGTGGGTAAGACTTTTTCAGATCACAAACATGATTATATCTCCCCTGCTTGAATTCTTTGCCATTTAAGGTCCTTCAAAATCCAACCTTTGCTCCCTTTCCAATTTCATCTCTCATCCCTTCCCTTCTTGCCCCTTGTACTTAAGCCTAACCAAATTGTTTCTTCTCCCCCAGCTTTATATCCGCCCTCTCCTCTTCTGGTATGTCCTCATGTTTGCTCATCAATTTCCTCCTGCCTGCACCACGCCCCTCAAAGTCCATTCTTCAAGGCCATTGATTCACTCATTTATTAAACACAGGACACAATTCGCAGCACTGTGCTCACTGTTGGGGATAACTCAAGCACGATACAAAGACCAGTACTGCATGGAGCTTTCATTCTAGTTACAAAGATGTTAAGAGCACAGACAGGAAATTTTCAGATAGCACGCATTCTCACAGATTACGGTGGGGGTGAGACTTGGAAGATGAGGAGTCTACTCTTCTGTCTAGCCAAAGAGCACTCCAGGGCAATGGGGTAGTAAATAAATGGAAAAGTCCCGGAGCAGGAATGAGCTGTGAGAAACTGGAGTGTTGTGGAGAGGTTGGTAGGGCAGGTCATGCAGGGTATTTTTTCTGTGTAGCCTCACCTGGTCTCTTAAGCACGATAATTGATCCCAGCATCCAGGAAGCTTCACAGGAGAGGCCCCCTTGAAAGACACGCTACACGTACTCTATGAAGCTGTTCCTGATCTGGGTTGTCCCCGGTGATGGCTCCTTCTCTGGATCATCCACAGAAGTCATCTGCCCGTCATCCTCGTACATCATGCCCTTGCCACATTTTCAGTTGTAGACATGCTGTCTCCTCAACTGGAAAGTGAGCGTTTTGAAATCATGGTTTATATTTTCCATCTGTATCCCTCAGAGCAAATATTTCTTGATCCATTCATTCCTCCATTGACTTACACATCCAATAGCCTTTCAGCACCTATTGTATACTAGAGCTATACCAGTGAAAAAGGCAGACAAGAACTCTGTTTTAATGGAGTTTACATTCTAATGGGGGAGACAAGAAATCACTTAAATATATAAACCAGATAATCTCAGAGAAGGGTAATTGCTATGAAAACTAAAATGAGGCCGGCGCGGTGGCTCACACCTGTAATCCCAGCACTTTGGGACGCTGAGGCAGGCGGATCACGAAGTCAGGAGATCACGACCATCCTGGCTAACATGGTGAAACCCCGTCTCTACTAAAAAATACACACACACACACACACACACACACACACACACACACACAAATTAGCCAGGCATGGTGGTGGGCCCCTGTAGTCCCAGCTACTCAGGAGGCTGAGGCAGGAGAATGGCTTGAACCCGGGAAGTGGAGCTTGCAGTGAGCCGACATCATACCACTGCACTTCAGCCTGGGTGACAGAGAGTCCATCAAAAAAAAAAAAAAAGTCACATTATACACTCATCATATTTTTTATAACACATGGCATTTTATTACCTTATTATGAGAGATCTTGATTGATATGTCCTCTTGACATTCCAGTAACTGATATCCCTTTAGTGAGCTCCAAGTTCGCTAATAGTCATTCCTGCTCTACAGAATTGCCAATAACCAACCCATTATTCATGCTCAGTGAATAACACTATTGCAGGGATCCAGGGTAGCTTCACATAAAAGAACACAATCACTTACATCCAGCCAAGATGCTGGAGGGAGGGAAATCGAACATTTTACAGAAATTGCCTTAATATAATCATCACTAACATCAGGACTCCATTAAGCCAAGAGCTCTGTCTTCATCTCTGAATTCTCAACAGCTGGCCCAATTTCTGTCTTATGATGTCCCTTTGGTAAAGTCCCAACTACTCAGGAGACTGAGGCAGGAGAATGGTGTGAACCCGGGGGGGTGGAGGTTGCAGTGAGCCGAGATTGCGCCATTGCACTCCAGCCTGGGCGACAGAGTGAGACTCCGTCTCAAAAAAAAAAAGAAAAAGAAAACACAAATAAATGGAAATATATCTTATGTCCATTAATTAGAACAATTAGTAATTTGGTTTTAAATTTATTTTTATTTTTTATGAGTACATAATAGTTGTACATATTTATGGAGTCCCAGTGATATTTTGATACAAGCATACAGTGCATAATGATCAAATCTGGGTAACTGGGATATTCATCACTTTGAACATTTATCATTTCCTTATGTTGAGTACATTGTGAAATATAAAATAAATTACTGTTAACTATAGTTGCCCTATTGTACTACCAAACACTAGATCTTATTCCTTCTATCTAACTGTACTTTTATATCCATTAACCAACCCCTTTTCATTCGCTCCTCCCACTACCCTTCCCAGTCTTTGGTAACCACCATGCTATTCACTATCTCCCATTTTTTTAGCCCCACATATGAGTAAGAACATTTGATATTTGTCTTTCTGTGCCTCACTTATTTCACTTAACATAGAAACACTTATATACACACATATACACACATAATCTGAAGATCCATGTCAATTCCTTTATTTTACGAGAGAGAGAGAGAGAGAGAGAGAGTTGTATTGTGTTCTTTTCTTTTTTTTTTTTTTTTTGAGACGGAGTCTCGCTCTGTCGCCCAGGTGGAGTGCAGTGGCGCGATCTCGGCTCACTGCAAGCTCTGCCTCCCAGGTTCACAACGTTCTCCTGCCTCAGCCTCCCAAGTAGCTGGGACTATAGGCGCCGCCACCACACCCGGCTAATTTTTTGTATTTTTAGTAGAGATGGGGTTTCACTGTGTTAGCCAGGATGGTCTCAATCTCCTGGCCTTGTGGTCGCCCTCCTCGGACTCCCAACGTGCCGGGATTACAGGCCTGAGCCACCGCACTCAGCCTATAGCGGGGACTACAGGCACCTGCAATCACACCCGGCTAATTTTTATTTTACTTTATTATTTTATTATTTTATTTTTTTGAGATGGAGTCTCACTCTGTCACCCAGGCTGGAGTGCAGTGGCCTGATCTCGGCTCACTGCAAGGTCCAACTCCCAGGTTCATGCCATTCTCATGCCTCAGCCTCCTGAGTAGCTGGGACCACAGGCGCCCGCCACCACGCCTGGCTAATGTTTTTTTTTTTTGTATTTTTTTAGTAGAGACTGGGTTTCACCATGTTAGCCAGGATGGTCTTGATCTCCTGATGACATGATCCACCCGCCTCGGCCTCCCAAAGTGCTGGGATTACAGGCGTGAGCCACCGCACCCAGCCTAGACTTTTGTTTTCAATAGTGCAACTTATATAGATAAGTTTAGTTATCAGAACAAAATAGAGTCAAGTAGAAAAAAAAAATCATACAGAAAAATATACTTTTCAAATTGACTATTTTAACACAGTTAAAATAAGTGATTATACTTCAGTCATTTGATTTAAATTTGCTAAGAGTGGCCAGAAAGTCTAGAAACAGAAAATGTCCATACTAAAGAGTTGATTGCTATGACATGTTGAATGTGCTGTTCCTCAATAGTAATTCATAGTTCAGTAATCTATGCAAAATTACAATGAACAATGTGCATGAAAGCAACACTTCCATCGATCACTGTATATTCATCTGCCATACATTGCCTCAGATGATTTGTGTGTCTAATTTCACAGAATAAATTTGAGCCTTTACCCCAGAAGAAATAATCAACAAGGCTCAATCTATTAAAAAGATATTGACAATATTTCCAGGCTCTATTAATATCTATATTTTATTTTTAATTAGATTTACCTAGTCCAAAGCTTGTAAATATTTTTACCATTTGTATGTGCCCAGATGAAATGGATATCAATAATTAGATAATGGAGAAAACAACACACACAGATCTTCTTTGTTGTTAAAATATTTTATGTCAGAGCATTTTGCTAGAAATAAAGTGATTTTAAATCTCCAGGAAAAAGACTGTCTAAATGACATTCAGAATGTATTACAAATTTAGATTTAGAATAGATTTATGTTTAAAACAGGCCTCATACTACTTTCAATAAATCAGGCACTACAGAACAGAATGTGGGGGGGGGGGGCAGGGCGGTGACAATGATGTGAGGACTTCTTAACACTGAGCAAAGAAGCAAAAAACAAGTTATCTTTCTACAGCGTTGATCCCTAAGAGTGATTTCCCTTCATAGACTGCGGTACAATTGCCAGTTGCATTATTAATAGTTTACAAAGAACTCCCACAGAAAAACTTTCTGGAGGTTTCCCCTACATACACAGCTACATTTTCTGCCGTGCTCGCACTGTTGTCAAAGCATGTGGCATCCAACCACAGACCATCAAGGGGCTTGATAATTGCCTCCTCCATATACCTTCTGAGGTTGGTCAGGTTTATAACCATTCCTGTAACACAATTAATCCTTATAACTGGGCCCATGGCCTCGTGGCTTGTCACCTTTTCCAAGCAGGTGCTCTTCTTCTTGATTGCTCAGAGGTTTGCTGCGGCACCTTCTCTCTTTGCGGGGTGGGCGGATCATGAGGTCAGGAGATCGAGACCATCCTAGCTAACACGGTGGAACCCCGTCTCTACTAAAAATACAAAAAAAAAAACAAAAAAAAAAAACAAAAAAACCTAGCCGGGCGTGGTGGCGGCGCCTGTAGTCCCAGCTACTCAGGAGGCTGAGGCAGGAGAATGGGGTGAACCCGGGAGGTGGAGCTTGCAGAGAGCGCCACTGCACTCCAGCCTGGGAGACAGACCAAGACTCCATTAAAAAAAAAAAAAAACTCACTTGTAGAAATTTACACAGGAAAAATGAAAACATATGCTCACAGAAAACTTGTATACACATGCTTATGGTAATGAATTTATTTATAGTTGCCTACCAACAAGTGATGAACAAATATATTTCAGTATATTGATACTACTTTCTAGCTATAAAAGGAATACTACTAAGCAAAAATAGAGGATGAAGTATTAATATACACAACATAGATGAATTTAAAAACACCATGCTGAGTGAAAGAAAACAAGTACCAAATACACACTGTAATATTCTATTCACAGAAAATTTGAAAACAAAAAACTGTAGTCTCTGAAAGAAAACCATTGGTTGCAGGGAGGTGGGGATTGATTGGCCACAAAAGGGTTGAGGAAACTTTTTATGGGTAATGGAAATATTTTATATCTTGATTGTGGCACCAATTATACAACTGTATGTACACATTTGTCAAAATTCTAATTGTATTATACACACGTGAGTGCCTTTAACTGTCTATAAATTATATCTCAATAAAATTGATCTTAAAAGATATATGCATACATATAATTTAATATGTATTTTATACATATATCTATCTCTTGACAATGGAGTGAAATGTATTCTTTCTTGTTTTTGAGACAGAGTCTCGCTCTGTCGCCAAGGCTGGAGTTCAGTGGCGTGATCTCAGCTCACTGCAAGCTCTGCCTCCCGGGTTCACACCATTCTCCAGCTTCAGCCTCCCAAGTAGCTGGGACTACAGGCGCCCACCATCACGCCTGGCTAATTTTTTTTTTTTGTATTTTTAGTAGAGACGGAGTTTCACCATGTTAGCCAGGATGGTCTTGATCCCCTGTCCTCATGATCCATCAGCCTCGGCCTCCCAAAGTGCTGGGATTACAGGTGTGAGCCACCGCTCCTGGCCTGTGAAATGTATTCCTGTGGTTAAACTGTCACTTAGCAAACATCCATAATGCTAAATATCCATATTAGTTCTCTTGTTTTGCCATTCTCTCACTTTTTCTACAAGCACCGTTTTGAAGACAGCCTCATCAACATTATTAATTAGATTTGTGATCATGTGAAGACATAGAAGATTTTCTCCTTCAAAATACAAAGTCTTATTTCATCTGCTCTTGCAACCCTTTTATTCTTCTGCCAAGTGATGTAGATTAATTTATCAACTGAGTTATGCATGCATTTACTTTTTCACAGATCTTTGTTATGCCTCTACTAGTTCTATGTTAGGGATATGACATGACATTGAACAGGATCAATATGGTCCCTGCTTTCACAGAGCCCACACCTAATGTGTGGATAGTCAGAACACAGTTACACAAACACAAGTGGGAAATAATTATAACGTCTGATAGATCTGAAGTCAGTAGGAAAGGTATTGAAATGGAGAAATAGAAAGGAGCCTCGTTTTGATAATGAAATCAGAGAAGGTTTCCCTGCAACTTCCTTGGAGGGCAAAAGCCATGTCCTTTCCTTCTCCTACCCCATCACTGACCCCAATGAAATACTGAGCACAGAATTTTCACTCAATAAATTACCTTAAAATGCATTTCAAAATATTTATAAAGCACACTTGTGTCTATTAAAGTATGAAAGGACATGTACTTGGAGCATAAAACCCAACACACGATGGAAACATCACACAAATGAGGAACAGGAAACTAATTATGTAAAGGCAAAATTTAAAAGACTTGTCAAGCTGGATAGAGTGTATTCTAAGAAAATGAAAACATACATAATAGCTAAATATTTGGCATTTGAGTTTGGGATGAAAAAATAGATGTAAAAGAAACAGTTTCCTTAATTAAGAATTTAATTTTGTGGGGCCAGGCATGGTGGCTCACTCCTGTAATCCCAGCACTTTGGGAGGCCAAGGCGGGTGGATCACGAATTCAGGAGATCGAGACCATCCTGGCTAACATGGTGAAATCCTGTCTCTCCTAAAAAATACAGAAAATTAGCCAGGCCTGGTGGCGGACGCCTGTAGTCCCAGATACTTGGGAGGCTGAGGCAGGAAAATGGTGTGAACCCGGGAGGCGGAGCTTGCAGTGAGACGAGATCGCACCACTGCACTCCAGCCTGGGTGACAGAGCAAGACTGCATCTCAAAAAAAAAAAATTTTTTTTATTTTGTCCTTAGGAAGGAGAGAAAGAAAAGGCAGCTCACCTAGACCATCACTTGCCTTTTTTAGTTGCAGCAAATGTCAGTTTTGTAACCAGATATGTTTGCAATGTGTGAATTCTTCTCCGAGTGCTAGCTAAGATGAGCTTCCCTACCCCCATCTCCAGCTGTGGTAATGCTTTACTCATAGCCCGTCTCTCATGCATCTGCCTGAATGCCTGCAGAACACAGTTGGACCGGCAGCTCATATTTAATCCTCTCATATGATATTAACACCACTGGTCTCCATTTTTAATTTACATCTTAAAGCCTCCAGGCTTTAATTGTTTTACCACTGTATTTCATTATTTAACATCCACTACTTTTATGGAAAAAAATGTGTTTACTCCTGTGTCTCATCTTAATGTTTCACTGACTGCTAAACTCACATTTTTTGTTCATTTGCATTGTTTCGAGAATCTAGATTGTATTTGTCTTTGGAAACAGTCACAGCCACTTCCAGAGGTCATTTCCCCGGTCATTTCCCGTAGACCCTAGACTGCTCTTCTCCCAGCCTTGGAGGTGCTGGGTTCTGGAAGGAGGAAGCAGTGAGTCCAGCCATTCCAGGCTGACATCTACCACGCAT